CAAGTCCCTAACTTCCAGCAGCTGAAATGACATCATATTTAATGTTCTTGAAGTCTACTGCCATTGAGGTGCACTGAATGGCACCACTTAGGGATTTCTATGATCTTTAGACTATTAGCAATCTGAAGGCTGGGCTGTACTGTATTTCTCTTTCAGCGTCTAGCACCCCACACAATGCCTGACATATTGTGGGTACTTAGGGATGTTTGTTGAATCGAATGGTCTACTCCCTATGAATTCTGAGCCTGGAAGCCTTCACATTCTGATGTAATCTTCCTTTGAGGCATTTCACACTGTTGAGAGCTTTGACATCTCAGACACACTCCATGGATCTAGTTAACTGAGGTCTGTTTTCTTTTAAAGGCTGTAAGGATGAAACAGGCCTGTGTGTGAAAGGCCCGGGGTACGTCACTTTCTGATGAGCCGCAGTGGCGCTGGGCGGGGTGCTCCGTGGGGAGCACCAAGAGCCACTGCACAGCAGAGAGACATGACAGGGCTGTGCTCCAGGAAGATGACTCTGACCACGGCACAGGAAGAAATGATCAAGTCATGCTTGAACTGACTTGAACTCATTCACTTGTCCCTTCTGAGCTCACTGTGGGCACACTTCTTAAATGATGTTCATTATAGACATTTTCATAGGTTCAAGCTCTTGTTTTCATTTTGTTCCAAGTGAACTACTAGTTCTTTTTTTTTTTTTTAAGATTTTATTTATTTATTTGAGAGAGAGCACAAGAGAGCACGAGCAGGGGGAGGGGCAGAGGGAGAAGCAGACTCCCCGCTGAGCAGGGAGCCTGACTTGGAGCTCAATCCCAGGACCTTGAGATCATGACCTGAGCTGAAGGCAGATGCTTAACCAGCTGAGCCACCCAGGCGTCCCAAACTACTAGTTCTTATAAGACACTCGGTGCGGTTTCCCCTTTCTGTGTTTCATCCTGCCATGGGATACACAAATGAGAGAAATGATTCCCACACTCTATAAGCAGGTCCTGTGGCAGGGCCAGGTGCCATGACATGGTAATATAGTAAAACAGACGGGGTTCTCCTGTCCATGTCACCTCCCTCTCTAGTTCCCAAACCAGCCATTCTAAATATCTGCCCTTCTCCTTGAGGACCTTACTCCATGCCTTCCTTGTTGCCACATCCTGCCACCTCCCTGACCCTCACCAGCTCCCCACAGATGTGTTGCTGTCTACCTCACAGAAGCCATAAGGCATAAACTCTCATCTTTCTGTGCCTCTCCCCCCTCCCCCGACAAAATGCATCTATAGCCATCATTACTGATCTGGTGGAAGATGCCCCTTCCCCCAAATCAAGGGTTATCCCGCCACCTGGATCCTGAATCCATCACCTCCTTCTCTGTGAAGACGACCATCCTTCTTCACCTACCCTGAACTCCTCAGTCTTATATACAACTGCTGACTTAACAGGTCTACTTGGATATCTAGTTATGCTCAAAAAACAAACTTTTCCCAGATGCTCAGGCCTGAACACCTTACAGTCACGATTTCTTTCTTTTTCTTCATATATCACATTCCATCTTTCAGCAAATCTTAGTGCTTATCCTTCAAAATATATCCAGAACCACAGCTTCAATCCTGGTGCAAGCCATCTGATTCATGTCTTGCCTGGATTATGGCACTGGCCTTCTAAATAATCCCTCTGCTTCCACCCTTGCCTCTTACACTGTGTTCTTAACAACTGGAGTGGTCCTGTTGAAACACAGACCTGATACTGACAACCTTCTGCTTGAACCTCCAAACATGTCCCACTTTGCTCAGAGCAAGGCCCAAACCTTTACAGGGGCCAACAAGGTCCTACGTGATCCACCACTGTGGCCTCTCAGGCCTTATTCTTCTACCTGCTCCTCCCTCACTCTGCCTCAGCGCCCCAGCCTTGAGGCTCTTCCTCCAGCATGCCACGGACACCCCTGCTTCAGGCCTGGAACATCACCGGCGGTCTTTCTAGGTTCATCTCAACACTCAGACTCTAAGATTATCCTAACACTCATCTGACCTGAAATCACTTAGAAAGATCCAGGAATAAAGTCACAGCTTGCCAGCAAAGCAGCATCAGGCTTTCTACCTTTGGAGGAAACTTCATAACTGTGTATGGTCCATACCCTGCCCAGGACCTCGTCGTTCCGCGAGCCCCTCCTCCCAGATCATCTCAGGCACAAGGATAAGAGATCCACTGAAGGTGGGGTCTGCCTTTACCCTGGCTTAAAAGCCTTATGCTCCAAAGGGACTGATATCGGTTGTAACTCAATAGATACCCTTTCTGTGCGTCAAGGGACATGCCCATTTAGAGGTGTCCCCATAATCACAGAAGTCCCGTGGTGTGGCTTCCTCCCAGGCATCTGTCATTCTGCCAGCCCTGATGCAGTTGACCAAACAGCAGTCATTTCTACCATCAGCAATGTTGCCTAGTAACACAGCTAACATTCTACTTTTATCAGGTCTCCCGGGAAACAGAGCTAGAAAGTTGAGAAAGTCAAATGTCAAATTCTCCTGGAGAAGGGGAAGGGATCTGTGAACACTTTGTCCATGTGTCTCTTGCTTTTGCTCTTCTCTCTGCCGGGGAGGCTCCTCCTTGGACATCTGCCTGGCCTGCTCCTGCACTTCCTTCCATGCCTTCATCAGAAGTCACCTTCCCAGGGAAGGCTTCCCATTGGAGAACTGCAGCTCCTAACATCACCTGCTGAGACCATCCCCGTATGCTCTCCGTTCTTTCCCATTGTCCTTATTGCCTTCTAATATATATAATTCACTAACTGGTTTTTTTCTTATTTGGCTTTCCCACAGAATTTAAACTCCATAAGGCGGTGATATTTGCCTTTTACTTTTTCCTCCTGCATTGATAATTCTTAGCACCTAGGACAGTGCCTGGGACACCGTAGGTTCTTCAACAACCAATTGTTTTATTTACTAATGAACGTATGTCCTTTCTCTCTTTCAAGCTCTAGTTTTTCACTGGCATCCTTTTTGAGGGGTAGGGGAAGGGCAAAATGTTTTCAGGCTACAAATAAAGAGCAGCGTGGGGTTAGAGATTAAGAGGAGAGAATTTGGGGTCAAATTGCCTGGGTCTCAGCAAGCAACCTCACCTTGGAGGTTTCCCTAAGCTCTTTGAACCTTTGTCATCTCACTGGAAATGGGGATAATAATAGTACCTATATCTTACAGTTGCCATGAGGATGAAATGAGTTAAAATATGTGTGAAGTATTCAGAAGAGTACCTGACACTTAGGAAGCACTGTGTGTTAACTATTATTGAAATCATTTTTTTTTTTTTAAGGGAGGGAGAGAGGGGGTTGTTGAGGAGGGGCAGAGGGAGAGAGAGAATCCTAAGCAGGCTCCACGCCCAGCACAGAGCCCTATGCAGGGCTCTATCTCATGACCCTGAGATCATGACTCTCTCAAGTAAATGAATAAAAATCTTAAAAAAAGAAAAAAAGAACTGGAACAGTTCAAACCCTGGTTTGCCCCCTATCACAGCACCTAAGGAAACATAGCATAATTGCTCATCATTTTACCACCTAGAACCAGGAAGCTCTTTATTTTTATTTTTAAAAAGATTTTATTTATTTATTTGAGAGAGAGAGAGAGAACATGAGCAGGAGACAGGAGCAGAGTGAGAAGCAGGGTCCCAGCTGAGCAGGGAACCCGACGCGGGGCTCCATCCCAGGACCCTGGGATCATGACCTGAGCCGAAGGCAGATGCTTAAGCAACTGAGCCACCCAGGTGCCCTTCCAAGTTTTTTTTTTTTAAAGATTTTATTCATTTACTTGAGAGAGGGCAAGAGTGAGAGAGAGCACAGAGGGAAAAGGAGAAGCAGATTCCCTGCTGAGCAGGGAACCCCATGTGGGGCTCGAACCCAGGACTCTGGGATCATGACCTGAGCTAAAGGCAGACGCTTAACCAACTGAGCCACCAAAGCTCCCTGGTTCTCCAAGTTTTAATACAGCCATCCCCTTTTCTCTCTTCCCCAAGCCCAGTGCTCCTCCTCTGTACTCCCCTAGTGTTTTATGGATGCCTCTATCATAGTATAACACTTATTGCTGGTTTATTTAGTTTTACCTGAGAAATGAACTGCTTTTATATATATATATATATAATATAATATAATATAATATAATATAATATAATATATATATATATCTCCAAACTACAGTGCCTGGCACATAACAGGTATGCAAAAAGGATCTGGATTCAATATATGAATATATAGCATCTACATAGAATAAATTTTGATTGGGTTACACTTTAATTCAGAAATAAACTTGGGGAGGGGTGCCTGGGTAGCTCAGTCAGTTAAGCATCTGACTTGATTTTGGCTCAGGTCATGATCTCAGGGTCATGAGATTGAGCCCTGTGTTGGGCTCCGTGCACAGCGCTGAGTCTGCTTAAGGTTCTCTCTCTCCCTTTGCCCCTACCCCCACTCACACACTCATGCATGCGCACATTCTCTCTAAAATAAATAAATAAAAAAAAATCTTAAAAAAATGGGGTAAAATAATGTCACCTCAAAATGTCAGTTCTTTCAGAAAATCCTATGAGGGGTTAGTATGAGACGTAAAGAAAAGAAAAAGGTTCTATTTTGGCCATAGAAATGACACTGTGGCTGTACATGCTATATTTTACTATATTTTACTATAAACCCAACTTTGAAAGGTAAGGTGTTATCAGTTATTTCCTGGACTCTTTCTTCCCCTAAACAAAACACAAGATAACTTGATGTTAGTGGCATCAAGTATTACTTGACCATAGGCAACTGTTGTTTGGGCTCAGTGAAGTCTTCCAAGTACCATATTTACCTTATTAGGAAAGTTCAGTAAATACATGATTTGGGCTCCCTGCCATGACTACAAACACCACACACAGGCAGAGAAGGGCAACTAGTACGTACGTAGTTAAAAATCACACTGCCAGCTCTTTTTAAAGGTCTCGATAGCTTAGTGTCTTGCTCCGGCTTCTGTTCTGACCTGAGTCTAGGCACCTACCTGGAGAGTACACCCGAACACGCCGATCATCAGCATAGCCACCGAAAGGTAGTCGGTAAACACATCCCACCACGGTTTCAGCACACGGAAGGCAGGCTGCTGCTCAGAGAACTGCCGGAATTCTGTCACCGGAATCATGTTGCTGAGAAAGGAAAGGCTGTGAGTTAATTTATCTTCAGGCACAACACACCGCATTAACAGTATTCGAAATGCTGCTCCAACCCGTGAGAAACAGTCTGGATCCGTCCAGGAGTTGTCATGGCACCTGAGTATCTTATGAAGCCAATGAATAAAACCACCAGTAGAGTCATTTCCACATGGAAAACGCAAGTCCTTTATTGACTATTATCCCATAAGTGGATTCCCTTTGGTTCCATGTGGACCAGAGAGACCACAGTCAGGGCAGAGCATTATTTCCTGGACTCTTCCTTCCCCTAAACAAAACACGAAGGTGTCAGAGAGAACAGAGCCTAACCTTTGAAATCTTTCTACTATTTATCTTACCACCCTGCGTGGCTGCTTTAAACTCTCTTAAATGTAATCTCAGCATTGGTTTGTGTTATTTACTGATCTCTCTTTGTAAAATAATAGTGCTTGCTACCTGGGAAGGCAGATGACTTTGCCACATGGTCCTTGTCTTATGAGAGAGAAGATCTCATCGGTGGTGGTTACCGTAGGGGGAGGGGATGCTTTGGAAAGGACTTCCTTTTTTCTTGCCTCCCATTTTTTTTTTTTTTTTTGTCCCTGTGCTTTTGACTTGATTTCTTTTCTCTATTTTCTGTATTCCTCATATTTCAGCGTGGGCCTCAAATTCATCCTGATTTTCTCTTCTGAGAAATCAGTTGTCCTTGGAAATGTCTCTCTCTCTCGAAATAACAGAAGATAAATGAAGAGGATGCACCTGAGACTCTGGAGGGAAGGGGCAGGAGGACACAGCCGCTTCTAGCCTGCGTTGTACTTCCTCATGGCTCAGTCCCACTGCCTTTACTGTGATCCGGGACTTGAAGTTCATCATCCTGCTACTGTGAGAAGGAATGTTCTTTTCTTACCTCACGGCAACGAATAAGGGTAGCTAGCCTATGTGAGACAAAAAGAACATTTCTCTCCCTTATCCACCTTTGGATCCGATAATCTAGTTCTCTGCATCCATCCTTGTTACTCCGTCTTAATTAAAGAACAAGGGCAACGCTACCTTGGCTGCTTATTCTCCCAAGCCTTGTTTGTGTTATGGATCTTTCTTTCCTGAATACTGAATTAAGGGCTGTACAATAAACAGCCCAAAGCAAAGCAAAGCAAAGCAAAACATCTTCTTTGAGATCACAGGTGGTTTATCTTTGAAAACTATTATCATGTTATCCATTCTGTCTTGTTTCTTTAGCTGACTTCCTTAAGCAGTGATTCGTCTTCTTTTTGGATTTGTTCCTTAAGATGATGTTGAAAATTTCAACTGCCTGGTGCTGCTATCACCTATGACCCATCTACCTGACATCTGTGTAGCATTTGATATGACCTCTTTTTTTTATGATTTTCTCATTTTAACAAAATGCAACTTTCCTAACTCCATTCTGTTACTTCCGCTGGCCTGCAGGCTTCTTGAAGGAAGAACCTATACGCCATGCCTATGTGTCCTCAAAACATAGGTTGCCAGCAAGCCACACAACCTAAATAAAGAACTTTCGCAGATTCCCAGCATCCCTGACGTTTCAGACTAGTTCAAAGTTTGATGTCCTGACGCTTCGTGACCTCTTTGCCTCTCCATGAATCATTACAACCTTACTGCCCCAAATATCTCCTAGTCCCGAAGGCTCCAGTGGCAGTCACAGAGGCTCTCGGTCCTCTTCACCCCCAAGTTCTGCTTCAGATGCTCCTGTCCTATTCTCTTTCATATTCCCATCACTCACCACAGTCCCCGGCAAACAGGAGGAGACCCTGAACAACTGTTGTTGAATGAGTGAGAGCCTTCCGATGCTTATTCATGGAGGGGTGCTCCTCCGCATTAGATCGGGGGTGAGGCCGACCACTGCCGGGACAGCGCTAACCAGAGCGGCACCTGCGCTCGGGTCTATATTCTTGGATGGATTTCTTGGTTGTTTCCTTCACGGTAAGTTCCTGTACCCCTTGGGGGGAACTGGGCTTGTTCTTTAAAGTGAGGAACAATTTGAGGAATAAAATGCACCATGTAGAGCAGTGGTTTTCAAGTGTTTTGATCTCAGGACCCCTTCATGCTCTAGTAGTAAGAAGGACCTCAAGGAGCATTTTTTTAAAAAAGATTTTATTTATTTATTTGACAGAGAGAGAGAGAGATCATTTCTGGCAGCAAATAGTATCAGTAGCTTTTCTTGAAGCATTAGGCTCACTTTATTCACCTTGAGAAGATATCTTCCACATACTAAAGTCTGAAAAATCAGTTGTTTTATTCAAATAAAAGTGGTGTAATACGATAAAGTAGCTAATTCAACTTTCAACTCAAATAAGGACTTTTCCTTGAGACAACCATTGTACTGTGCAATGCAGCAGAAATGCTCTATGTATTCTCCATCATACAGTGCATTAATACAATATGTAGTCATGGGCTGTGTTATTAAAATAATTTTATTGGGTCAATAAGGACATGAAATGAAACTGGTATTATTTTTAAAGTTGTAAGTGTATGCCAGTGAGGAATATAATCACCACAGTACAGTCTGAAACCTCTATCTTGTTTCATGCTAAGGTGCCCACCATCACTTTTGCATCATAAGTGAAAAGGGCAAAAAAAAAAAATCTTAGCATTAAAAAATAGTTTTGACCTTGTGGACTCCCTAAAAAGGTTTAGGCCACCAGGGTTCCATGAACCACACTTTGAGAAGGACTGAGGTAGAGGCTCGCTGTTCTTTTCTTTATCTGCAGCTCTTGTTAAAAAAGCAAACCCTGGGCACTCAGACTAAGCAAAGTTCTCTGAGTCCTTGGCCAAGTTGCCTTCACAGGCACTAGTCTCTTAATATGGAAAATAAAGACGAACTAAGGAACTTAAGTATTATGCACTGCCTCCTAATACTGGCACAGCCTAATTAAGATGGGTCCTTAGAAAGAAGACATACACTTGACCAACAGCACATGAAAAAATGCTCAACATCACTCAGCATCAGGGAAATCCAAATCAAAACTACAATGAGATACCACCTCACACCCATCAGAAAGGCTAAAATTAACAAGTCAGGAAATGACAGATGTTGGCGAGGATGCGGAGAAGGGGGAACCCTCCTACACTGTTGGTGGGGATGCAAGCTGGTGCGGCCACTCTGGAAAACAGTATGGAGGTTCCTCAAACAGTTGAAAATAGAGGTACCCTATGACCCAGCAATGGCACTACCAGGTATTTACCCCAAAGATACAGATGTAGTGATCCAAAGGGGCACCTGCACCCCAATGTTTATAGTAGCAATGTCCACAACAGCCAAACTATGGAAAGAGCCCAGATGTCCAACAACAGATTAATGGATAAAGAAGATGTGGTATATATATATATATATATATATATATATATATATATATATACACACACACAATAGAATACTACTCAGCCATTAAAAAAATGAAATCTCGCCATTTGCAACGACATGGATGGAACTAGAGGGTATTATGCTGAGTGAAATAAGTCCATCAGAAAAAGACAATTATCATATGATTTCAATCAGATGTGGAATTTAAGAAGCAAAACAGAGAAGCATAGGGGACAGGAGGGAAAAATAAAACAAGGCGAAATCAGAGAGGGAGACAAACCATAAGAGACTCTTATTAATCAGAGGAAACAAATTGAGGTTTGCTGGAGGGGAGGGGGATGGAGGGTTGGGGTGACTGGGTGATGGGCACTAAGGAGGGCAATGGATGGAATGAGCACTGTGTGTTATATACAACTGATGTATCACTGACCTCTACCTCTGAAACTAATAATATACTATATGTTAATTAATTGAATTTAAATAAAATTTTTAAAAAAGATGGGTTGTTAGAGAAACAGCTGGTCAAGATGACACAGCCTTTTAGTGTTTGAGCTCCGAACACACTTCACCTCTTTTGGGTAAGTGTATGTATATAGGCATGTTTATGTACCTACCATGTATGTGTGCACATATTATACTACATATGAATGTACATAGATGTATAATACATACCCACACACAGGCTTTATTATTTTAACATATCATAAGGCTAAAAGGTGATATCCAGCACAGCAATAATCCTTGGAATTATTTTTGATGCAAAAAAAAAGGGTAGGGATAAAGAAGTTGATTAAAAAACTCCCGTAACTAGAGAGAGGACAGATGGACCTTGTGCTCGTTGATTGAAAAAAAATTCTTTTTTGTATTCTTTCACAAATTTCAGCACTTCTGATGAAAGACATGCATAACAGGGACTACACTTGATCTCTCTTTCATTATTATTGTAGCTTCTGATTGACTTGTTACCATTTCAAGAGTTAGTGTTTCAAGTTGAAGGAGTCACTTCTGAAAATTAACTGCTTGGGTTTAAAGTTTTTTCCCCTAAAGATCAATCAGCATAATTTTATTTCTATTTTTTTTTCTATTTTAGATATGTAAATGATTATCTCTATATTTCTTCCAACTTGAATTTCCAACTTAATATGTAAGAGTTTAGTTTATCTAATTAAATAATGTCTTTGGAAATATGGCATTTCAATTCAACCATGAGATTCTGGTATCCTAATTAAAATTACATAATTTTTACATTACGTTATATATCTGCCTCTGTGTCCTTTTGCAGAAATCCATGTGCATTTCTTTATTAAAATACTTATTTCCAAAAGTCATTTTAATGGCTCTACAAAATTTACTTCTCCAAAAGATCGTACCATATAATCCTTTGGTAAAGAATATTGGTAAAGTTAGTTGCAAACCCAGAGTTTCTTATTTCTTTCACTTATTTGGCTCTCCCTGAACAATCCGTCTTCTTCCCTCTCAAGAGAATCTTAATATCGTCTTCTCCAGAATTAATTACACAGAGCAAATTCTGCTCTATTAATCTTTACCTTTAAGAACGTGAAACGTACTCTACTTCTATTCAAACCTGATTGCTAACACAGTTCTCCAATGCCTATCGGGCAGGTACGGCCAGCATTTGCTTTGTTCTACATTTTTCTGG